TTGATAAAGGTAGATTTGTGCAAGTCATTCACCAGTTTTAAGTATATTAACCAGTGAAAACGAGTTAATATCATATCACTATCACTGTATTTGATAATTTTTCCACTAGTAAATGATACATACATGTAAATGATTTTCTTCCTACAAGTGAGAACTCCAACGATCAAACCTTAGACCATAGTCCAAAGGTACTAAAAGTTGAAAATGTTAAAAATGAACATTTTGAACTCCTAAGTTGTTACATTGGGGAGCAAATTAAGATGTTAAAAATGGAAAAGGAATTGGACGGAGCTAAGGCTGTGTTTGACACTACGAGCTGGAGTTGGAGATTGATGTCAGCTTAAGAGTTATTGTCCGAAATAGAAACTTGTCTGTAGCTTTATGTGCGAAATCAAAATTTCTAGTTGAGTGAGTATATACATTAAAGAGTGGAAAAATTCACATTAATAATCCTAACTATTAGAAGTCTTCTAATATTAATCCCAAATATGCTTAATTCTAAAATAATCTGAACTTTAACTGGCCTCTTCTCCTAATAAACCCGTGACCTGCATGACCGAATTCAACAGGTGACTCAAACACGTGGGCTATAATTATTGGTTTTCCTTTTTTCCCTTTTCTTTTTTGGGAGAATTTGACTGTGCACCCCACTTTTTGGGTGACATTGGACTTTGCACCCTATTTTAAAAAACTTTTGACTTTGAACCCTATCATATAACATTTGTGAAGGAAAATTTCTAAAGGGGATGTACAGTCAAAGGATTTTGAGGTGACATGGAGTGCAAAATCAAAGTTTTTTAAAAATGGGGTGCAAAGTCCAATATCATCTAAAAAGTAAGGTGCAAAGTCAAATTCTCCCTTCTTTTTTCCTTCTTTTTTTTTTCATTTTTTATTCATCTTCCTTTCCGGTGCTTTGGGGAATGGGCGCACGAGTGTTCTACGACATCGATCTGTCCATGTTCTAGAGTCGCTAGTCACGCCACCTAGGTCGATTAATCAAGTGTTGGCCTTCATGTGAATTTTTCCTTAAGGAGTTGAAACAATGATTGAAAATATAAAATTATTAAAGAGCATACAATATACTTAGTATCATTTATTATAGTGGTTTTATTTATATCCTAAAAAGATATTAAGATTGTAGAATGTGTGTAAATACGGAGTATTAAGATGATAGGTATGATAAACTCAAACTAAGAATTGTCTGTTAAGCTGAAAATAATTGCGATTGATACACAAGTATAGATGGAGCATCATCATAATCGACTAATCGTACTCTTTCTACTAGTACTTTTGTATATAACAACCACAACAAACAGCATCAACTAAGTTACTAAATTCCTTTACATTATGGTTATGGCCGGAGATAATTAGCTACAATTTAAGAAACTAACCCTCCTAACTCCTAAGTTATTTCTAATTCGTAAACTCAGAAGTCCAAGATAGAGTCATTGAAGACAAATACTGTCGCTTACTTGGTTTCTTTTCTGCTTGAAGAGCACCTAAGCTAAAAAGATTCTTGGACTAGCTTAACATCCAAGAAAGTTGTGATTAAAGAAAAACTCTACTCTTATCATAGTATTAAGATCATAACATAGAACTTTTGGGATAAAAATAAAGTGTATGATGTATTTTCACTATTGATAAAATAACACTACTTAATCAGTGATTTATATATAAAGTCGTCTAAATATTGATCACTATTATAGTTGACAATCTGATAAATATAGCGAGATGCCGAGATTCAGAGTATTTTTTTTAAGTTAATCCCCAACATATATATACCCGATTAGAAAATACTAGTATAAATTTGTGATAAATCACTAATTTTTTTTGTTGGAAAACTTGGGGTTGAGCTTTTGAGACATACAACTTAAATCGATCCGAAAGGTGGGGAATCAGAGTCAACTATGATAGTAAGAAATTTCACAATTTCAAAGTTATAGTACAAGCCAAGGCATTTTGGGGAAATGCAAATGCTAAATCGCCAGCCATCTAAAAATTGTGAGCTTCTTAGTTCTTACTAACCTTTCTTGATAAGATATCCTTTTCGTATAGTACTTCTTGATGCATTTTCTTTTAACTTGTGACATTTGTACCTCAGATAGGGCTAACACCCCTCAGTTGGTGAGCCGGGGAAAAGGGAGCAAATCCACTCCCACCAAAAACGGGCCACACCAAGAACGAAGTCAACATAACATAAAGAGTGGACAAATATCTATATATAAAAAATTACAGTCCATAATCTGATTTTTAAAGAAATGTAAGGAAGCGGATACACCAATTCCACTGCCAAGTGGAGTAATTTTTATTTTAAGCTTGTTCAGAAAAATTAATGGGAAAATGGAAACTAATAATCCAACCTTTTAGCGGTCTTCTTACAATAGTCTCACTTAGTCATGGACCGGGCCTGGTCCGGTTCCGGTTCGGGCATAGGCCCAGTCGGGCCAGTGGTTGTGGGAGTGTAGCCCGGGACCGGCCCGGGTGTTGGCTGGTACCGGTTCGTGCCGGGCCACCCGCCCGGGTACCGGTCCGGTTCGGTTCCGGGCCTATTTTTTTCCTTGTTTCTAAATTAATTATTGTAGAAGTGCATTAAAAAAACTTCGAGTGCATTTATTTGAAATATGAAGTACATTTGAGAATTGAGAAAAAATTACAATATGAAATACATTTTCTAATAAATAATACTACGTAATATAATATATAATAATCATTCGAAATTTCCGCCACTGTCGGTTGTTGTTTTTTCCTTGCCTTTGCCTTTGTCACGGGACTTAATATGTCTTGTAGGCGTTCCATATCCATGCTGTGAAACGCCCAAGCTACACTCTTTGTTCCACCACTTGCAAGTTGCGTACCACATCCCGGTCTTCGGGTCCTTCCACATATCAAAATTGTTTTTCATAAGGGAAGATTTACTTTCCATCTTTAAAATGGTAGATGTATAAGAGAATAAGAGAAGATGAAGATGGAGAAGAGTTGGAGAAGAGGTGTAGGAAAATGTTAGAAAAATAGGAGTATTTATAGTTTTTATTTGTACCCCCCCCCCAAACCCTTCAATCAATCGTGGTAGCGCACACACACACACACACACACACACACACACACACACACACACACGCACACACACGCACACACATGCACACACGCACACACACGCGCACACACACACACATATTTATATATATATACACTTAATACATTAATTATATGTAATATAAGTAAAAAAGTAAAAAAAAACAAATATATAATAAGTAGATATTAAATAGATATTAAGTATATAATAGGAAAAATTGACAAAAATAATCCCACCTTTCATCGGTCTTCTCATAATAATTCCACCTTTACATAATCTCAAAATAATCTCACCTTTGTACCTCATCTTCTTTCATTGGACCCCGATCAGGGTTTTTACCTTTATTTGAAAATCCTATATAAATAATCTCACATTTATAAAGATATAATAAAAAAAAGTGAAAGGTAAGATTATTTATATGATTTTCAAAGAAAGAGTAAAAAACCTAGTCAGGGTCTAATGGAAGAAGATGGGGTGCAAAGGTGGGATTATTCTGGAATTACGTAAAGGAGGGATTATTATGAGAAGACCAGTGAAAGGTGAGATTATTCTTGTCAATTTTTTCTATATATAATATATATATATATATATATATATATATATATATATATATATTTATACGTAGATAATTCGAATTATATTAGTATATATAATAATTGTATAACTAATATATAATATAATGTTTATAATATACTATAACATATATAAGTATATATTAAGTAGATGTAAGTAGATAATAAGTATATATTAAGTAGATAATAAATATAAGTAATATAATATATATGTATTTATAAGTAGATAATTAATATATAAGTAGATAAAATAATTGTATAAATAGTAAAATAGATGTATAGAGAATAAGAGAATTTGAGAAGATGAAGATGGAGATTAAGATTTAAGAGTATTAGAGAGTAGACAGTAGGAAGATTGGAGAAGGGGTGTAGAAAAATGTGAGAAAAAATGTGTATTTATAGAATTTTTGTACCCCCCCCCCCCCCACCAAAAAAACCCCGGGACCCCCAGCAGCACCCAACGGCTATATAGCCGATTGGGGCTATTTCCAACGGCTAGAGGGAGCTGTTTTTGGCTTTTAATTTTTTTTTAAAATTGTAGCCGTTAGGCCCGAACCGGGCCTGGCCCGGCCCGGCTGGTTCAACATTTGGAGGTACCGGAACCGCCACCGGTAGTACACCCGGTTCGGGCCCAAGCCCGATACTGGGACCGGTTGACCGGGCCGGTCCGAGTCACGGGCCGGTCAGACCGGGTCCACCACTAGTCCCACCTTTTCGTTGTTGATGACTTGCTATTCCAAGTTGTTTTCTTATCTTTGCAAATCATTATACCATAAATCTCACCTTTCACAAAGATAATACTCCCTCCGTCCCGAAAAGGTTTGCCAAATTTCCTTATTTGGATATCCCAAAAGGATTTGTCATTTCCATTTAAAGTAAGGAATATGTGCCTAAAATTAATTTTCTCTCCTCTGCACAAATTTCAATCACACAATTTTTACTTTATTAATCCGCGTGGAAGTCAAAGTTGACAAACCTTTCCGGGACGGAAAGAGTATTTTGCAAAGATAAGAAAATAACTTGAAATAGCATGTCATTAACCGATCAAGGACCAGCGAATGAAGATGGGGTGTAAAGGTTGGATTATTCTTGAATAATGAAAAAGTGGGACTCTCGTAAGAAGACTGCTAAAAGGTTGAATTATTAGTTTTCATTTTCCCAAAACTAAACAGAATTTGTTTGTTGCGGACTTCTAACCCCATTTTGGAGGAACCTAAACCAATTTAGACCGGTTCTTGTCTGGAACCAAACAATGAGTGCTCAGTTCCCACGTTTACCTGCTCAGACACAGTCCTATGATAGTTATTAGTTAGATAGGACTCCTATCTAACTATAGAACCATACGAAAAATTTACTCCGTACTTGACAATTGCACTCACTTAATAATTACGGAGTAGAAGACAATACATTGTATATTTGTATGGTAATAACCTCAATAATCTCTACTGGAAGGGTAAATCAGATTCCTTTAAACAAATGAAGGCCTTTTTGACCCCCCGTTTTGTCTGTGTTTGGAGCGGTTTAATACTCTGCTCTTCAATATGATGCAGAGAAAAGCCAATATTAAAATCAAAATGACAAAAATGTTTAATTGCCACCATGGCATGAAGTTGTAATCCCATCCCTTGTGGAAAAAGCCTTCAGCAGTGATTACTGGATCAAGAATAAAGTCCAAAGTCATGGCTTCTTCCTTCAAAACTATGAGTGTCCTCTTTGACTTGTATCCCGGCATCGTTGCAACCACTGTGAAGATTCAAGCACAAAGTCTCACTTCAATTCAATGCTTTGTGATGTTTTAACTGAGGATAGCTTGTGATTCAATTATTGCTTGATTCCATTTGCGTGTATGTTCATTATAAAAACTGAACAATCTGGGATGAAGTAAATATAAATTACCTTCATAATTTTCACCAGGAGCTAATAACCGGTGGTAATCAGCAAATGTTTTACCGGCTTTTATCTGCACAGAATTAGTTCTATAGTTAGCCCACTGTAATTCAACACATCTTTTCATACATGTGCCATGTAATTTAACCTTCACAAACTCACAAAGTTGTAAGCTTAAGGGAACAAAAAAACCTTAACCAGTGTACATACAGTGTGTGTGTGTATGTTGAGGGGAACATACCGTGTAATTTATTCCCTTTATGCCTATTGAAGCAGACAACGGCCTTCCACTATCAGCAGAATAGATCCTTCCATGAATTCCAGACTGCATGATTAAGATATCATCAAATGATATGATTGATCTTGAAGCAGGAACTCTGGTGTAGTTAGAGACTAGATAATGCTTATTAAAGTCGTGACAACATTGGAGTTACCTTTACTACACTTGCAACAAGGTGCAACATACTCATTTTGTTGTATTCCCAAATGGTGGGAAGCTGTGATTAACAAGTCTGGTTAGACATAAATCCAATCTAGTCTAAAGAAATAGAATAAGCAAAAGAATCAACATAGAAACAAAGTAAGAGTAACTTCCAGTCATACATGTAATTTTACAGCTTATTAGTGGACAATAAATAGTGATGCAAGTTACAATGAAACATGGCCCGCATCATTGGCAACCTCAAATTAACACCCAGTTTGGAAATCCAGGTATTACACTTGCCAATATAATGTTTAAAATGTATAATTGTAAATAGTGGCAGTAACTCAATCTATCCCAAAAAGAGACTGGTTTGAGCAAGTAATTTTTTTTACTTTTGGTCCAACTATATAGACAAACAAGCTCAGCCTCTGTTTTTAAGCAATGAAGTAATCTGTTTGTTTCAAATAAATACTAGTACAAGCTTTTACAAGTTACATATCCTCACGCCTAAAACTTTTTTAAAGATTGTTTGGAATAGCTGGCTAAAACCACTTGTTTGACTTGGCAGTAGTTTGACTTAAACATTAAAGTTGACTTCTAAAACTTCACTTTTTTGAGACAAAAAGCTCTTGCAGCACGACTTTTTTTGGCACAGGAAGAATTTGGTTAAGCATGCTCACTGTGCGATAAAATGGCAAGCTAAACTCGAGAAGACTCAAACAGGAAATCTTACTTCAGTTGCATTAGGCCATTTATCATCACTGATCTCTAAAGTCAACTCAAAACAACCGGCATATATGTAACTCCAATCTTGCATGCCACCATATATAGGGTACCTGATAAACTCAAGGAATGCATCAGTAAATGAACAGCCGAATTTAATTTTAAATTAGTATTAAAGCAATATGAGAGGATGAACTTTATGGAACCATATCCATATTTCCTTACCAATGTGCACCGTTTGTAATTCCTTTTGGAAACTCCTGGCTTAAAGACATGTTGTGGTGATAATGACTATATAAATTTGCCATATATTTGAAAGTTTCATCATCAGGGCAAGCAAAGTAATATTTCCTGCAATATGGCACCCATTTACAATGTCAATTGGTCATAGAATTAGCAGGTAGGACAACAACAACAGAAAATATTATATTCAATACAAAGGTTCAAAAACAGGCATAGAATACAAAACTAAACACCCCCACCAGCACACAAATTCAAGAACCCTATATCTGATTAGATTGGAAGAAGGCTTCAAAATGTTTTGAGATGATTTCCATTTTTACCCGAGTACTATCTGACTCGTATTTCCATCATTTCCGGTGGAGCCAAAGACTCACTATTTTTTGGTTTGGGAAATATGATGGAATAAAGCAAAACGGCTCACTAAACTGTTTGCGTTTCTTTGTTATGAAGCAGCAATCAGTCCATGCAATTTTTTACGCAATTTTCATCATGGGTCATCCGGAAATAGTCTTTATGCTTTAGTATAGGTGTCAGGCTATGTACATCTGACACCCCCTTATCCCACCGTAAGTGGGAGCCTTTGCAGCATTGAGGTAATGTTATTGTTGTTGTTGTATTATCTGACCCGTAAGACTCAAAACTTAATAGGATTTGTTACAAAAATGTAGTAGGAAGAATACAAAATATTGGACATGATAAAATATTACAACAGTACCCTAGTGCCACAAAGGCTCCCACAGTCCCACCAGTAGTGGGGTAAGGGTTGAATCGGTTGTACGCAGCCTTACTCCTGTACTAAAGCACACAGAGAGACTGTTTCTGGATGACTAACGATGAAAATCGCGTGGAAAATTGCATAAAATGATTGTTGCTACATAACAAAGAAGCGCATACAATTTAAAGAGCCAGTTTGCATTATTCTATCAAATTTCAAGCCAAAAATTGGTGAGTCTTTGGCTTCATTAGACACGATAAAATAATAAGTTAAACAATTAAATGAGTTATAAAGTAATGTACAATGCAATTTTGGCCCAAAGTACAGGGGTTGGCTATACTAGCCCCGTTTGATATTTTTTGGCAGTTCGTTAGTGATTTTTTTGGCATTTAGATCTGTATCTTTTCCAATACCAATAATTTAGTGTCACAGTTCACAACCACCAAAAATTATTAAGTTCACCAGAAAATACTGTTCAAATTATAGACAAAAATGACATGTTCACGTGTCAATCTTATCAGATTTGGAAAAGCTAAAATGCATTTTGAAGAATTACAATGAATATATTTGACAATAAACATTTTCATAAAATGTGATTCGGTCCAATTAGTAATGCTACAAATATGCCTTGTTACATGTACAACAACAACAACATCCAAGCCTTAATCCCAAAAGATTTTGGGGTCGGCTAACATGAATCGATCCATGATATCAAAAAAGAGAAATATAAGAAAGATAAAAGATAAAAAGATAAAAGAGCATAAAAAGCTAGAAGATAAAAATAACATAAGAACATAAAAAGATAAAGAAAACAAACGAAACATATAATTTTACATGTGTTTTTACATGTAATTCAATTTTTTTTCAAGACTAAATTGCCGATAAGCATATTGATGTAGTTCTAAATTGCCGATAACTATACTGATATAGTTCTAAATTGCCACAAAAGATCAAAATGGGATTAGTTTTGCTGAACCTTTTACACTTATAGAACCAAAATTGTCTTTTTTTCTCTATGAAATGTATTCAAAACTCAAAAGCACTATTTGTGACCAAAAGTAAACATTCAAATGAGAAAAGAAAATGCACTAAAAAACTGCTCTGTGTGGTTGTAAAACTACCATCACAAGGAGTCTCTAATCTCTAAACTTCAAGCAGAGATTTAGTGAACTGCCACTCATTGAGAGCATATCCCTCCACGAATCTACAAGTAAGACACTCATAGTTTTGGAGCAAATGTGGGTGCATCGACCATTTTGCAGTTGGAGGAGGGGGCGAGGGCTCAAGTAAAACAGTACCCATTATTTATGAGGTAGCAAAAAAACAAATTTGAAAATCTTATTTTCAAACCAAAAGACGGGTATTATCTGTATATAGCAGGTCCAAGGGGAAAGGGCCTGCTGAAGATGTGTTAACTTCGTTTACTTCATGCATGTATTTTATTCTTCCAGATTTGAGCAATCAATTTAAATAAGTTTCCTGCTAATAATTTTTTGGGTCAGTTTAATTACTACATTGATGTTCCCATCATTAGAATTTAAAAGTTCATTATACGATCATACCACTAGCTGGATCACCTTAACTCGTATGGATGATAAAAAAGTAGAGAACTTACTTTTTATCTTGAGTTCCATCCCATGGAAAATTTGCAACAAGTGCACCCTTCAAACAAGTAAAGATTGTTACATATTACTACGTATAAATTATTTACACCATGACATATTATGATAGCCTAAAACGTATGAAATTATAATAAGTGTATGATTTGCATTATGAGTAGCATGCTCACATTATAATAGATAATGGAAGAGCGAAACAATTACCCCATGCAGGCTGGCAGATGCGGTGAAATGTACTTCTTCCATCCAACTCATAATAGCTTTTGTTTCTGGTTGACGTGATCCGAGATCATCATTCATGGGAAAGAACTATGTCACTTAATGTTAGTAAATGTTCTCTTTAAAATAAAATAAAATAGTTTGAAAATAAAAAAGCTTATACTCTACATAGATATATCATATATATTACAGTCTCAAATAAACTATGAAAATGTACAGACAAGAATGCAAAATTATCATATAGTTTCCTAGCCCACACTAAAAATGAAGAAAAAAACTTGTAGTAGTATTACAATTTTTTTCAATCCTTTGTCATCCATTTCAAAAGCATTTTCTCGTTTTGTTTAAGGAAAGAATTGCGTGGATGACATTTTTCCTTCCTTTCCATATAAATCCCAATACCCCCCCCCCCAATATTATTTTCAAAATAAGCGTACGAAAAGCAAATGGATATCTAATTTGTGGAGGGAGCATTTAATTTTTGAGCAATGGTCAGAAAATTGACGTGAAGCAATAAAATTCTCTTCTGAGAGAACCTCCTTTGATGGAATCATATGGTTCTAGTTGCATAATAAAATGTCCATAACCCACATGTAATGAAAAATAGTATCATAAAAATAAAAGACACCTGATCTGGAAAATCACGATTCAGATCGATGTTGTTTGCATTTACACGTTTCCTCATCTCAAACCCGTCAGGATTCATAGATGGTAGAATATGAAGATGAACATTGTCCACAATCAAGGTAGCCTACAGCATTGCAGCAGAGGAACTAAGTTTATGTCCAACCAAGCAACCACATGATGTTACACAAGAAAGAAAAATTAAGAGGAGTGCAGGGAGTGCATGCATGTGTGTGCATCATGAAAATTAGATTTTCAGTCAAAGCATTAAGACAGCTGAATTATAATCAATATGAAAAGCCAAAAAGAACAAGATGGTGCAAATTCAAGCTTTCAGGATGTTGAAATTTAAAACCTTCATTGAAAATGTTCCAATTTTCCAATTAAATAAGGAGAAGTATAGAACTGTTACCTACAAGTAGGATAAGATGGCACATTCACTACCTTTAGCAAGCAAGTTTATAATAAATGGACCAGAGTCTCAATTAAAAAAGTTTTGCACTTCTGCAACTTGTAATGAAAATTGAAAATCATGCAGAGTACAACACAGTGACTATTATACAGTAAGGGAGGGTTTGGTTGGGGGATTTCAGAGGAGAGAAAATGGGAGGGGTCATATAAATTTAAAATAATTTTTACATATAGAAAAATTGAAATAAAGTGAAGATAAAGTAATATATAAAAATATGTATTTTTATAACCTAACTAATTGTATAGTTATTTGTAGTCTAAAACTAACAAATTCTGATAAATTAATAAAACAAAAATCAATCCTTCCCTCCCTTTACCTCCAAAATCCCCCAACCAAACAAGCCCTACTGGCTTTACAGGAAATCGCAATGGCTTGCCATACCAAATAGATACCAACAGTCAACAGGATGCACAAAAAATGAAAAAAAATGACAAACAGCCAAATGTACAATAAAAAGAAAAGCACTAATAGAAGATACTAGAAATGGAAGAAAAGTTACCAAGGGATCCTTCATGTAATTATCACAAATCCAATTAGCAAGAAGCATTAGAAGCTCACGCCCCACTGGTTCATCCCCATGCACGTTTCCAATAAACTACAATAACAGGGTTGTTGATATAATTGATCACCAAAATAATGATCTAAGAAACTAGGGTCTAATTAAGCAATCAATCACAGTAGGAAGCTAGAGCACAAGGTTAGTGATTTAAATAGAATCACTGGATAATAAGATCAGTCGAGTTCAGGCCTTCAGGGGCTCAATTTTCAATCTCAGATTAGAACTTTATCTCAATTTTCTATCGTCTGCATTATTTATGCCATATATTTAGCAAGTAGTCATTTATGTTCTCTAAGAACTGAATAAAGAAGATAATAGAGTAACTGGCTTCCAAGATGCTGCTTCCGCGCTGGGAGAGAAGATAGATGCCAAATTCCGCTATAACTAATTTTCATCATCACCTTAATCCCAACTATATTGGGGTCAAAGGCAGGAGTTTTATAGTGCTTAAACTGTGAATTAACTGTCTAGGGTTAGGTTCATGATAAACACGTGCAAGAAAGCGTAATGGAAATTCAGCGATAACTAACTTTTAAAATAAATTTTAAAACTACTAATCTACTGCAAGTAGTAAACTTATTGCCTGAAACAAAAAAGGGAACTGTGGAACAATTATCAATCACACTTCTGACTGAAAAATAAGAAGGGAGAAAGCAACATATAAGTGTAGCAGTTTCTACATATAAGTGTAGCAGTTTCTACATTTGCATTCTCCAGAGATTCTTCATATCTTAATTTGTAATTTGTATTGCTACGATGCAGTGTTTTAAAGCTCATTGGAAATAATGAATGTTGGAAGAATTAACTACCACAACATTGTTGTTGGAGCCAGTTATTCGGAATGGTTATCTCTTTAATGCATGATGTCAATCATATTACCTGTTTGCAAATTGTGAGTACATGGATAAAATAAATACCTTAAAAGCAGGTTCAGCCTCTTGCTTTCCTGGTTTGTCTGAAATTTCCATCACCCACTGGCATCAAAGAAACAAAAGACCTCCATTTAGCCTTTTTTATCATGAATACAAGAGTAAACAACTGCTAATAAAGTGAAATTCTGAGTAACCAACAATGAGAAATGTATTACCAGTGGAAGTCCTTGTACACTCTTTCCAATGCTGATCACATCAGAGAGAGTAAAGAAAGAGTAAGAACTACATGAACATGCATGGCTATTCCAAAAATGATGAAAATAGCTAGCTTTTATATTACCAAATATATCGGAGTTGTCGATATAAAATAGTTTGTGACGTGACCAGCATACCTTGGCATATTTGCATAGCATGAGGATCAAGGATGAGTATAAAGTTACTAACAGCATAAATGCTTATGGAAGAAACAGAAATTAGCAAACATGGATATTATACTTTCATAAAGCTAGCCTCTGCTCAACCTTTTATTACCTGTATACTCTTGAAATGCTGCTACACCTACGATTAAAGGCCATTATGGCACTTTCAAGTTCGGCGTTTGTCATGTACCCTCTAGATAATTCTTCACTACCAGAGAAAAACCAAAATAAAATTAAAATTATCTCCAATCCAAGGCTCAGTGATATAGGAAATTTGAGGTTTAAACAAAGAAAGAAATCTTCTGAAATGATAACAAAGAGATTCAGGAGAGTACAGTTTTTGGAAGTGTTCTGCTGTAAATAAACGTCTGCTCGACCCAGATGTAATATTCTGATTTAAGAAATCTACAAAAAGGCAGAAAAAAAGTGGTCATTCCTCAACCAAGCAATCCAGCAAAAAGGACACATTCATTGCAGCGGTGGGTGTGAATAATAATAATATTCTAAAAGTTACATGCATCCTCACTTCGTAACATAAACAAACCGTTTTGAAATCATTAGTAAGAATTAACCGATCATTAAAGGAAGTTAGTTAAAATCAACACATCACCCGCAAGGCCGAAACTAACTTAATCCAACGCAAACTGTTCCACGAATAATGACAGTCCTGAAAACGTGTTCCATATACATTTTTACCCCTTAATCTAGCAAGTGGGTGAAAGAAAGACCTGAGCTGCCGGAGGCAATGGAGGTACGGCTAGCGATCGAACAGTGGAGAAGAGAGCAAAAGTGTATAGAGAAAAACAGTAGGCAGAATCGGGCGATAAGGTCCACCATCATCGCTTGCTCATTGAATCTGAAAAGGCTCGGTTAGACGACTTTCCGGGTGAAGTTTCTCTCCGATTGGGAAATGTGAACACAGACTAGAAGCGGCCGGAAGGGTATGACGCGCGATAATTCAGTCCGGCGGATTACTAGAGGTAAGGGTGCAACGCATAGTCATGGATTGGATACAATATTTCTTCATCATTCATTGATTTGACTTTTGTTTGGCGAAAAAGAAAGAATCTTTCACTTTTCCGGCAGAAAATAAGTTTTGGAGCTAAGAAATTTGAAGTGCATACAAATTCATCATAAAATTCAGAATGTGTAATTATATACGTAGTACTTTGACGGTATCTTATATGAATATGACATGTAAAACATTTCAAATTATGTTAGGATTAAAAAGGGTTTAATGCACCAAACCCTTTTTAGCTCTTTGTGATTTAAAAAATGCGTCAAACTCCCTTGTGTTATAATTAATCATGCGCCAAACTCCCTCCAAGAACAAATTTTACAATATTGAAATTAGTTTTTTTAATAATATGGTTGAATATGCAAGTAACTTTTTCAAAATTTCTAAATTCTACAAAAAAACTAATCAATTTTCATTTTTTGGAAATTAAATTTGTTCTTGGAGGGGGTTTGGTGCATGATTAATTATAACACAGGGGGTTTGACACATTTTTTAAATCACATGGGGCTAATGCGCCGAATTTATGTATCACGAGGGGGTTTAGTGCATTAAACTCGATTAAAAAGGATATGACATGTAAAACATTTCAAAAAAAAATACAAACCACACAAGATGATGCAAGGATGATACAAAAATATCAGAAAACATGGAATGAGTACATGAGGTTGAACTTGATTACCATAAACCTCTTGAAACACATAATTTTTATTCCATAATATAGACTATTGGAGATGTTTGATTAAGTTAACATAATTCTGGTAGATTCAAATTTCAAAGGTATTCCTTGAATGATTGACGGAGTTTTTACTTATTTTTTATCAGTGTATTGTGTGCATTTGTGTTTATTTGTGCGCCTCTTTGCGTGAATATGCACATTTTTATCTAAATGTCTACTATGTTTCTTTATTTGCATACTTTTCATAGAATTTTATTAAATTTTTGTAAAGTATCTCATTCTAAATATCTTTTTCACCTATTGGAGTAGATGTAAGATTTGTTTAACCTTAGAATATTTTTATTTGGATTGTAATTCGTCCCGAACTAGACCAGACCAGAACAGATTAGACCAGAGCAGATCAGACCAGATCAGACTTGAATAGTTATAAAAAATACAAAGAGATCAGACATTACCAGATCAGACTTGAATAGTTATAAAAAATACAAAGAGATCAGACATTACCAGACCAGATCAGACCAGTTCAGACCAAACCAAGTCACCGACAAATTATTGTCCAAGTAAAAACATCCTGGTTATTATTTGTTAGACCTTATGTATGGCTAACCTGTGATGAGTTATCTTGACTTGATTTTTATTAGTTTTTTATTACATTCATGTAGGCTAAACGTATACGAGTAATATATGGAAGATAAAGAGATGAGTGATTTGAAATATATCGATTTTTCAAAGTGATGGCAGTATGGCACCTTGAAGAAGATTACTTGATGGTCAAAATTGCTACTTTAGTGATCAAAACTGATGGTACCTTCAAAGTGATGGAAGGTAAATAGTTTTACTAAAATAATGTTTATACAACAACAAAATTGATGGCACCTTCAAGAAGACACTGATGGTCAAAATTGATGGCACCTTCAAAGTGATGGCACCATCAATTTTGAAGAAGACACCTTGAAGAAGACACTGATGGTCAAAATTGATGGCACCTTCAAAGTGATGGAAGGTAAATAGTTTTACTAAAATAATGTTTATACAACAACAAAACTGATGGTCAAAATTGCTACTTTAGAGCATCTGCTATGGGTGGTCATTTGGGGATCAAAAAAAAAATAATCCCACTTAATCCCCACTATGGGAGGTCACTAGGTTGATCGATCAACATGGAAGCTCACATGTGGTATCTGACAAAAAATTGGAGGAGGCATATGATTAACCAATTAAAAAATGCCATGTGGCTTTTTAATTTAGATGAAGCCACCAACCTTATCAAACATCCCCACATTCTCTAATTTCATTTATTATTGATTAAATTTAATTTATTGTAAAAAAAGATTACACCAAAAAAATAGATATTTTTTTCTCTATAAATATAGACCAATGAATGATATGTTTAGTCACTTCGAAATTTACCATTTCTTTCCCTCTTGCATTTTATTTTATCTGTTTTAGAATATTTTTTCTTTGAAAATAGATCCAACTCCTTCTCTAACTAGATACAATCTCAACAATAAATTATAGTGAGTAAAATGTGAATTTTATATTCCTTTATCAAATTATATAAATTAATAATAGTAGAATATACCAAAAATATGGAGAGAGAATGCACAAATTTCAAGTGACCTAGGTCACCATAGTGGGGTGAAAGTATGATAGGTTAGAAGGGATTAAGTTTTTTGTGGAAAATGATGTGGAAGAGAGATGAGGGGATCAATATTCATTGACATTGTGGATGCTCTTAGTGATCATGCGGGCTGTGGCAAAATGCTTTATTTAATTTTAATAACTATATAAATGCTTAATTTTACGTAGTACATTGCAATGAATTATGAATACAATGGTAATCCTATTGCAGTCTTTGTTTTGAGATTTTCCCGTGCTTTTTTTATTCTTTCATTTTCTACGATTCTCTAATTCTTTTTATCCACCAACACTAGCGTGAAAATTTTAGTGAATAAACTACTGAAAAAGAAGGGAATATAATATATAAGAGAATTTGATTACACCCTATATTTTGAAGGAAATTGAATTTTACTCGCATTTTCAAAAAGGTTGACATATCACGTAGCAGTGTGCACCCATCTAATTAAAATAATTAATGTTTATACTTCTCTCTTTCATAAAAAAATAGATTTTCACCCGTGCGATGCACGGAACATAAAGATATTCAATAATTTGTATCTTCTTAGTATAAATATTTTTTAATTAGGTGAAAAGGATTTAATATATTGTCCTAAGTGAATTATAAAAGAGGCGATCGATTTAAAAATAGAAACATTATATTATACGGAGTATATATAAATCCTATTTTCCGTAATATATACTCCGTGTTAAGTAAAAAAGTACAAAATAAATTTTATAGCGTGATAAAAGTACGAAATTTGATTGAGTGGGCAGGCAATTGTATTGACAAGAATATTAAGTACTACTCCTTTCGTCCCTTATAACTTTGTCAACTTTCCTTTTTTGGATGTTCCATTAACTTTGCCACTTTCCCTTTTAAGTAAAGAATTTGTAGTTCCAGTTAATTCTCTGTCCTCTGCACAAACCTCAACCACACAATTTTACTTTATTAATCCTCGTGCTGGTCAAATTTAGTAAGGTTATTAGGGACTGAGGGAGTAATTAATAGGCTAATAGCTATGCACCCCGCTCCATAAGTTATCCATGCATTGAGGCATGAGTTGGACTTGGGGTACACATTTTTTTGTGTATACGTTTTTACACATGTCTGTATAGGTTTTTTTTCTATGCAGACAAATTGTATTTTGACAAAATACGTTTTGTCTGTACAGACAAAAAAATCTACACAAACATGTGTAAAAGTGCGTACATAAAAAAAAGTGTGTACCTTTGAGACATTTTTCTTGAGACATTGAGCATTTAAAACTTTCCCATTAATCTAATTCCCCATCATCCAGTGTATGAGTTGAGGCATACGAAGTACGGAGTATATTTACTTGTATTGAGAACCATATTTGACCCGTGATTTTTGGCAATACTTTGCCAATTTTCTATTGCTTTTGTATATTAATTATTAAATAGCTTTATCCCCTAGTTAGATATTTCTTATTAAATTTCATATAGTGTTCATCTATAGTCATGTGAGAGTAGTTAAGAGGATAAACATACCTATGAAAAATTATCTACACATAAACTCAACTTTTTCCAAAATGAAGGCTAGCGACGTCTCCTTGTGATTATCCACCTCTATCCCGTTTAAAGGTTCCCATTAAAAATGACATAATTATTTAGATAACAATTAAATGTGCTGATTTGAAAAATATTGTTGATGTGTACGGAGTATATAATTTGATGTTTTATTGGTGATAATTATGATGTTATAGATGTATTTTTTTTAATATTTGATGATTAAATTGTTATTTAAGAGTGTTAATTGTTTCCTAAAATAGAAAATGAGAATCTTTAGCTAGAGACGTCCAGAAAAGAAAAGTGGGAATATTTGAATGAGACAGAGGAGTCCGATAAACTAAGTGTCTTTACCAGCATTATTTTATTTCAAGTAGTTTAAGTGTTTAAGAGTGTTTGAAAAATGAAACTAAACTCAAAATCAATTTCCAAAATACTTATTTTTCTACTAATGACAAAGGCATTAACTTTGAAACGTGCTTCCTACATGTTAGATTAAATTACTTCAAAAACCAATTGTAAATGTAAGTAAGTCCTCCCCTCGAGACATCTAATAGAGTAATAGGTGCAATTAATACCAATTCCCAGCCATCAGGTAGGCGTATATTGAACATCTAATTATGCAAATGTAACTTCTAGAAAACACATGGAGCCTGTTTGAGAGTATGAAAATTGGCTGATTATGCTGAAATTTATGAAATTTTGGCTGAAGTGGCTGCATTGGCAAATTCTGCTAATTTAAGGAAAAATTATTTTTAAAATACATTTTATTAATAAAATAAAGAAAAAATTATATGTAAAAATAGCTAAAATAATCATCTACATTAACTTCAGCCAATACAGCCAGAAAAGTAACTCTAACCTTACTTTTTCTGCTTATTACACAATTCAGCTCGCGAAAGCAAAAGTTACGTGTTTGGTGAAAAAGTTGGCTGATAAGCTTAATAAGCCGAAAAACAGTGTTGTCAAACGGCCTCGTAGTATAACAATAGAGACATCCAAAAGAAACAAATGAGAAGCTTAAATTGAGACAAAGGAGGTACAGAGTACATCACTATGCATATTGTGTTAAAACATAAAATTGAAAGAATTGTGCTAGAGCCTAGATGTAGGCTTTGTTTGCAACCACTTAAGAAAAGTGATTTTGGCTTTTTTTTAAGAAAAAAGCACTTATTTTACCAAACACTACTAACTTTTACTTTCTCGGCTTCCGTGTAGAATCTACTTTTTACTTTTTCTATTACACAAAAAACACTTATTTTACCAAACACTACCAACTTTTACTACTA